TTGATTAGGTTTAATTATGGAATCAAGGTGAGGTTGTAGCCTATTAACAATGATTTTGCTGATAGTTTTACTAATGACAGTGGTCAAACAAATAGGCTTAAAGTGGTTCCAATTCTGCTGTATATCAGATTTAGGAATCAGTACAGTGGTGGAAGCACAAAAATACTTTGGAAGATTATTGCCTTGAAAGAAGCTTGTTACTGCAGCAATAACATCAGCCTTTATAATCTCCCAGGAATTTTTGTAAAATCCAGCAGTGAAGCCATCAGGGCCAGCAGATTTGTTGTTGTCTATTGAGCTGATTGCATTCCAAATTTCCTTTTCATTGAGGATATCTGAGAGCTTGAGGCTAGTAGTGTAGTTCAGTTCAGCAAGGAAATGTGTCTTCTCAATAGGGGGTCTGAAGTGATGTTCCTGATTTAGCAAGTCTTTATAATAACTTATGGCATCATTGGCTATATCAGCATTATCATGTAGCCACTGACCATTAGCATTTTGAATATCATGGATGGTATTGCACTTTCTCTTATATTTTATATAAGCATGAAAAAATCTAGGGTTTCTATCCCCATCAGTGAAAATATTCATAACAGCCTTATGTTTAAGGAATTTTTCCTGATATTTAATGGCACAAAGAAGGTTGTTCTGAGCAATCAACAATTCCTTTTCCTTCACATTGCTAATCTGTTCCTCATGCTCCAATTTTTTGACTTCATTTTCTGCCTCCTGGACTTTGGCATGCACATTTCCAAAAGTTTCCTAACTCTAATTTCTGAGGGCTTTGGCAATTTTGATTTGCAGTAAACTTAACTTTATAATGGGGTCAAGATGTGAAACTCCTTTCCATAAATCAGCAATGTACTTGTTGTAAGAAGGGTGTGCAGTCCACATGTTGAGATATCTAAAAGGGGGGGAGGAGGTATGATTATCAGTAGAAGTAATGTTGATAAGCATAGGCCTATGATCTGAGCCAGCAAGACTAAGATGAGTAACAAAGGTGAGGAGGAATTGGTTAAACCATGCATCATTTCCCAACATTCTATCAAGCCTCTCCCAAATGGCTCCCCTTTTCCATGTGAAAGCAGGCCCCTTGAAGCCCATGTCAAAGAGATATGGATATTGTCACTAAAGGTGTTCATCTTAACAAAATTTGAGACTCTTCCTCCAGATTTTTCAGCAGTAGAAGTGATTGAACCCCTCCATTGCCCATTTATCAAAATAGAGTGCTCATTGTTGTGTAACCACCTCCTAATCAAATGACAGAAATCAGTGTTGAAACTTCTGGCAATTAGTACTTCCATTATGAAATCCCAGCTTATGGTATCATAAGCTTTCCTTAAGTCCATATTATAGACCATATTGGGCCCTCTACATGTTTTATTCAAGTCCTGTTATAATTCTTGAGCCAGAAAAGTGTTATCAATTTTGGACCTTCCTTTCACAAAAGCTGTTTGATTAGGTTTAATTATGGAATCAAGGTGAGGTTGTAGCCTATTAACAATGATTTTGCTGATAGTTTTACTAATGACAGTGGTCAAACAAATAGGCCTAAAGTGGTTCCAATTCTATTGTATATCAGATTTAAGAATTAGTACAGTGGTGGAAGCACAAAAATACTTTGGAAGATTATTGCCTTGAAAGAAGCTTGTTACTGCAGCAATAACATCAGCCTTTATAATCTCCCAGGAATTTTTGTAAAATCCAGCAGTGAAGCCATCAGGGCCAGCAGATTTGTTGTTGTCTATTGAGCTGATTGCATTCCAAATTTCCTTTTCATTGAGGATATCTGAGAGCTTGAGGCTAGTAGTGTAGTTCAGTTCAGCAAGGAAATGTGTCTTCTCAATAGGGGGTCTGAAGTGATGTTCCTGATTTAGCAAGTCTTTATAATAACTTATGGCATCATTGGCTATATCAGCATTATCATGTAGCCACTGACCATTAGCATTTTGAATATCATGGATGGTATTGCACTTTCTCTTATATTTTATATAAGCATGAAAAAATCTAGGGTTTCTATCCCCATCAGTGAAAATATTCATAACAGCCTTATGTTTAAGGAATTTTTCCTGATATTTAATGGCACAAAGAAGGTTGTTCTGAGCAATCAACAATTCCTTTTCCTTCACATTGCTAATCTGTTCCTCATGCTCCAATTTTTTGACTTCATTTTCTGCCTCCTGGACTTTGGCATGCACATTTCCAAAAGTTTCCTAACTCTAATTTCTGAGGGCTTTGGCAATTTTGATTTGCAGTAAACTTAACTTTATAATGGGGTCAAGATGTGAAACTCCTTTCCATAAATCAGCAATGTACTTGTTGTAAGAAGGGTGTGCAGTCCACATGTTGAGATATCTAAAAGGGGGGGAGGAGGTATGATTATCAGTAGAAGTAATGTTGATAAGCATAGGCCTATGATCTGAGCCAGCAAGACTAAGATGAGTAACAAAGGTGAGGAGGAATTGGTTAAACCATGCATCATTTCCCAACATTCTATCAAGCCTCTCCCAAATGGCTCCCCTTTTCCATGTGAAAGCAGGCCCCTTGAAGCCCATGTCAAAGAGATATGGATATTGTCACTAAAGGTGTTCATCTTAACAAAATTTGAGACTCTTCCTCCAGATTTTTCAGCAGTAGAAGTGATACAATTGAAATCTCCCCCCTTAATAGAATTTGAGACTCTTCCTCTAGATTTTTCAGCAGTAGAAGTAATACAATTGAAGTCTCCCCTACCAGCCATGGGGAGTCCATCTGTTGGCTGATGTTAATCAACCTATTCCACATACCATTTCTAGCATCCTTTGTGCATCCAGCATAAATGTAGGTAGCTTCACCCTTATGTCCATTCATAGTGGACAAATTGTGGATGATCAATTAGAATATTTGAATTTATTTCTTTTCTGCAAAAAATCCAAATTTTATTGTTAGTATTCCCAAAATGGGTGAAACAAGCAAACTTTTTAATCAGATTTTGGGGGTTCTTGCGAACCATAGGTTCAAGAATAACAATACACCACAACTTGTATTTAAAATTCAGGTAGAGAACTCATTTTAGGGAAA